AAAGTGCATTTTAAAGATTTAACTAGTTTAATTAGGTTAACTAGGTGGTGATTAGGCAGGTCATTGTAAAATGATAGTTTGTTCCGTAAACAATCAAAAAAATTCTTATGAGGGCTAATAATATTGACCTTAAAATGTTTTTTCTAAACTGCTTTTATTTTAGCTGAAATAAAAGCAGATAAGACTTTCTCCAGAAGAAAAAATATTATTGAAAATCCTTTCTCTGTTACACTTCATTTGGGAAATATTCGAAAAAGAATATTCACAGGAGGGCAAATAATTTTTACTATATATAAGCAAATAAGACTTTCTTCAGAAGAAAAAATATGATCAGACATATACTGTGAGACTTTTCTTACATCATTTGGAAAATATTTTAAAAAGAATTTTTTTTAAAAATCTAAGGGGGGCTAATAATTCTGACTTCAACTGTGTGTATTTTTTCTCGGTGCTGTCTATTGTTACGTTTTTATAAAAAACGAATGAAATTATATTACTAGTTTTATTATAATTTAATAGTATTAAATTGTAAATTTTTGATAAAAACAGTAACTTCAATGATGCAAAACTTTATAGTGCTAAAATAACGCAAGCTAAAAAAAACTACATTTATTGCAATAAACCCTGTAATGCAAATATACCTCGTTTTTAATAATGAATAAATTCAGGGTGATTTTAGAGCATCTCCAGGTTCAATTCTTTTGTAATAATTTTGTATATTACACACCTTTTTGTCAGGTGTTACACACCAATGTTTGTCAGTCTTAATTTGAGACGACTCATCATTTCATATTGCTAAAAATTGCTCCTTTACACAAATGCAAAAATTGGCTCTTGTGTTTACCCTATTTTTTTCAGATATTTCCTAAGTTGTTTAACAACAAGTTTTTTTTTTCAAATAGTTCTAAAACAGTTTTAATATTGAATGTCTTCTGTCTTTGCCTTTGATAACAGTGCATATTTTACAAGCTTGCAAGACACCATAAATCTTTACATTAGATGTCACTCAGGCTATTGTCTATTGGAAGGAATGTGTCAACAGAGCTGCCATTTTAGTACAGGGTAGCGCCCCTTTGAAATGAATGTGGGACCCATGTGCAGTGGACGACTGGCCATCCAGAGCCAGAGATATATGCACATATATACATATATCTATATCTATCTTTTCCCAGAGGTCAGTATGCAAATATTTTATCTAAATGACTAAAATGATAATTTTACATCACTTTTCTGCATTGATGGATCAGTGACAGCACGGGCATTGCAAAGAGCAAGTGTTTGTGTACATGGAATGTATTATGCTCCCTCCCTGTTAAATTAGATCTAATCCTTGTCTTGAAAAACACCTCCACTCCTGCTTTCACTTAATGTTAACGGAGGGAGCAGTTCGTTAGTGAATGAATCCCTGTTATGAACGACTCGTTCACTTAAGCGACAATAAGTTTCTAGCACCGCAGCATCTTTTTGTCCTATTTCATTTACATTTTTTGCTGATTTTACTCAACAAAAATCGCATAAACCTAGTATTTAGGCAGTAAGAGACTTTATTATTATCAATACTCGTTTAGCACAAAAGTTTAATATTCAAAATCTTTAAAAAAACAAAATGGTGCCTATGAAATGTTCTGCCTATGTACTTTGTTTGCTCATTACAACACCCGTACACAGCACTAAACTCCAACATCTTCACACTGGCTTTAGTCTTTACTAGTGCAATTGAATGACGTTTGTCCTGGGAGCACTGTACAAATGTGGCGGCGCTATTGACACATGCTCAGGGTCCGTATGCGATATCTAGTGTATATATCTATGGCAAGATACTAGTACACATTAGACTATCATAATACCTCAAAAACTACATTTTGATTTCACTGGGACTATTCCTGTTTTTTCTATTTTTAAATTTTAGCCAAACTGAAAGAAATAACTCTCCAGAATCAAAAATATATAAGGAAATACTGTAAAAAAAAAAATGTTTAACAATTGCTCTGTTAAACATCACATGGGAAATATGTTTAAAAAAACTATGTGAAATCTTGTGAAATTGTAGTTTTGTCTTCAACTATGTGACGTGTTTTGAAGAAAGTGCTGTTTTTTTGTGTCCGCAGCGCTCACAGATCCCACCAGTCTGTACCTGTCATGTGTGTGGAGCTTCATGAGCTTGAAGTGGTCCTTCCTGTTGACCCTTTACTCGCATCGATATCGCAAAGAGTTCGCAGACATCTCCATCCTCAATGACTTTTAAACACACAGCAGCACACTAGTGTCCACAGGTAAACAATCACAAACATACCACATGTGCTCGGCTGTTAGCGTGCAGACTGGAGCAGAAACACTCAACGAGGAGAGTCTGAAAGTAGGATATCAGTAGCAGATCATTCTCTCTTTCTACACTCGTCTGTCCAGCGCTCTTAAGTTTTAAATCTGGACTTTTTAAACTCTATGATCAATGTCAGTCTTTCTGAGCCTTTTTACATTGAATGAGATGTTAAGAAGAGTTTCTGTCTTTCTCCAAGCTGCTGTTTTCTTCTTGTCTTGAATGTTTTTCCTTCTGCTGTTTCATTATGAGATACGAGTGACAGTTTTTAATTGAGCTGGAGAATGTCACACGTTCTCCTGCTACCGCACAGATGTCTGGTGTTTTTTTTAAAATAAGCACTTTAATGTCCTTTAGTAAGTGGTTTAACCATCACAAACGCTGTTCCTTTGGGAATCTTGAGGCTTTATAGGTGAAGGATGTGCTGTTTGGAAAGGTTATGGTTCTTTGTTCATGGATTGAATGATTTTTGTAGCGTATGTTTCCACAAGACAAACAGGGTTTTTCATATTGAACATCAAATGTCTGTCAGCTGCGCTCAGACATTAATGCACGAGTTTGTTGTTCTATAACTTTGAGCTTTCTTTTTTTTACATAATTACGCAAAAACATTGTATTATACTGTTTAGAATGGGTTTTTTTTGCTTTCGCCTCAACTTATGTGAACAAATCCATTATATTGTATTACAAAATCAATATCTTTATGTATGTGTGAGTGGCCCATTAATAAAATAACCTGTTATTATGTCCTTATTCTGTGTGGGACATCAGCTTCTTTGAAACTCAATAAAGAAAGTTAAAATCATTGACAATAAAAGATATGGACGTAGTATCTGTGACGTCACCCATAGGTTTCTGAAGTCTGCAAATAAAGCTACAAGTGGGCGTGGCCAACCGTCGCCATTTTGATCGCACGTCATTGCACCAACCGGGAGTAACCAAAAATGGGCAAAGAGGCGGAGTGTGAGCAAAGCTACAGACGGCTGCTAGCATTTTGATTAGACTGGCTCTTCTTTGGGAGAAACACTTAATACTTCATAACCTGCGACTCGTTTGTGTTCTGACCACATGTGCTTGGTTGTATACTATATTAATAAAGTGTTTAGACTTTTATAAACACTGCTGTAATACATTGAGCCACTAAACATTCTTCTACAAGAGGAAAACGCAAATTACTCTATACTCTTTGTTAGTAAATGCAAGGCTGTTTATGAAATCCAGGCATAACACGTTTCAAATGACTATTCTAGAGCCTACAGCAGGGTCGGAGTGGGACTCCCTTTTCAGCCCTGGAGTTTCAAGCAGACCGGCCCACCTCAGTTCACGACTGACTATATTAAAATAAGGTAATTTCCAATTTATTTTCTAATGACACTATCACATCTTTTTCAAGAAAACAGCTCCTTTAGAACTTCAAACGTTCAACAACCTTACAGTTTTATATGTCTTAACGATAAAAATGACAAAAAAAAAAAACTATTCAGGTGAGGATCGAACACGGATCGTTGACGTCGTAACGCAACGTGCTGACCACTGGACCACAATGACGCTGTTACAGTTGTGTGGCCGGAATAATAATTACATCATCATCACCATGCAGGCTGCATTTTGCTTATGGGGCTGTGAGACAATAAATAAGAAGAGCGGAGCTGCGGCAAAATAATGAATAAAAAGAGTGAGGCTATGGTCAGAGAAATAAATAAATGGAAAAAAAAGTGCGACTGCTGAGAGTGCAAGCAGCTAGAAACACCGGCCCTCGCGGTTAAAAAACGGACCAGCCCACAGGGAAACTCTCCCGGTCCTTCCGATTGGCCTATCCGGGCCTGGCCTACAGCTAATCAATCTGTCAGATTCTGGAATGCATTACTGGTCAAAAGAAAAATACAAATCATAAACCATCTTAAATAAAACAAATACATTTATAGATATGGTATATAATTTCATTCACATGCGAAATGGAAGCTAATTGAATGGTTTGTGAACACAATGAAGTGCACACAGCATGCCTTGTTTTCTAATAATTGTAAGAAATAATTCCAAAAGGCAATTGATTGTGTAAAGCCACATACAACAGCACAAGAATATGATGTATATGTCGAGTTCAGCGGCTGAGGTGACGTGAAGGCAACCAGCGAGACTTAGCTGTCACTCAAGTGACCTTGCCCTTAATTATGCAAACTTAATATAAACGAAACGGATGAGTTATAAAAGAATTTACCCCCCTCACAGTTGTCATGAAGTGTAATATTAGCTTTATGCACAAAATCGGGTTGTTGTTTTTTGTACCAGGCTGTAAACATCTTTTCTTCTGCTGTAAAGTTGCCCATTTTAACATTTAGGATCAATAGAAATTTGCTCCATTATGGAGCCAGGACTAGCGGAGTTTTGATGAATTGCAGTTTCAGTTACTTCCATGTTGGCTTCACAAGAGAGAGTGAAATTATGCAGCTTGGTTAAAATACAGCTTTATTTTTATTTAAAAAACAAAACAAAATCAGACAAAAAGCTTTGTGTAATGTTACAGCAATTTGGTAATAAAAAAAAGACAGCATTCTCAGAAATGCAGAATCGGCTAGCTTTGCAAGCGGACAGCAAATCTCATTTTTAATGCTTGCTCTATAAATAGCTCACATTCTAGTATAGCTGCCTTACATATTCATTAAAGGGGATAATTATCCTGTATTAAGAGTAAAATGTCTCAGTATGTTTTTCTTTTAAAAGTGATCAAATAAAGTGCAATTTCAGATGTTTTCATAGTTTCAAATGGAATTTTAAAATGGCAGAAGACTATTGGTCATTTCCTAGACAGATGCTGATAACTGTAGGTGTTTTTGAGTTTATGAGGAAAAGCTTACTCTGCTATTTAAACAGTTGGGGTGCAAATCTATTCAACAGTAAAAACATTAACATCATTTATGATGTTAATAATAAATTTGTTAGTAATAAACTAGACTGCAGTTCTGCACAAGAGGATTGGCCAGAGGAGAAATAATTGTCCCCAACTGAATGTGGTTTCTCTAAAGGTTTTTTCCTTCACTTTTGTCAATTGGTGGTTTTGTTTCTCGCCACTGTTACCACTGGCTTGCTTGGTTCGGGACTTGTGGAGCTGTGCATCAATGGTTTTCCTCCTCAGTGTTTGGACTTTCAGCAGTGAAAACTAAAACACTTAACTAAACTGAACTTCAACTCTGAAAACTAGACTGACACAGATTCTGTTTACTACAACTTTTTATGTTAAGCTGCCTTGACACAATCTACATTGTAAAAGCGCTAGAGAAATAATGATGAATTGAATATTAATATATTCTAAAAAAATAGAAAATGTATTTGAAAAAATATATTATGTAATTACAATTTAATTTATTCCCATGTTCTTTCATGGTTATTATTCCAGTGTTCAGCGTCACCTGATCGTTTAGAAATATGATTTGATACTTAAGAAACGTGAATTACTGTGAATGTTTTCTGAAAACTATGCTGCATATCTGCCAGATTATTTAGTTAACAGACAGCTTAAAAACCAGCAAAGATTTCACATTTTACGTTTTTCTTGTTGTTGTTTTTTCAACAAACAAAATAAAGGACTGAACCAAACCTTTAAAAAGCAGTGTCTACCAAATTTGTTCCACTAAACAGTCAAATATCCTGAACAAGAACCTTTAAAACTCATTTCTCATACATGTTCATTTCCTGTTTGTACTATGCTAGTTTGATTTGTCTGTCATGTGCAAGCTAATGTTAAGTAAAAAAAAAAAAACCTCAGAAATGACTCAGCATTTGAGTGAAGCATTCGTGTGATTAGAGAAGTGCTCTTTTTTTGGATTGTGTCCTGCATTTCCTTCAGCTTACAGCAGATTATTGATCAGCTTCTGCTTTGAAAGGAAAAGGTTCTTCTAGTAAAGGAAACTGTCGAATGGGTTTCATCGTCCTCCACTGGCTCATTGGGCAATCTAAAAAGCAAACAACCACAGCATCTTCAATACTTTCATGAGTTTTCTATCATGGTCTGTCAATATGCTCATCTGTCTGTCAACACTCTTATAAGGTGCTACTTTTATCAGTGGTGTTCATTTCGGATGCATTTTTTTTATTAATTAATTTTAATTTCTTTAAAATTAATTTCTCCCATTGTGATTTACAAAAAAAAAAAAAAAAAACATTTAATTGCGTTAAAGTCATTGTGATTGTACTAATCTATTTGCTACATTCAATTCTCTGTCAGGATTATGGGTAATGTAGTTTTTCACCAGGATTTCTACTGTTAAACCCATTTCTTTGATTGGTGGGGGGTTTTGGCAAAGTCGTGGGTAATGTAGTTTATCAACAGGAATTTTACTGTTTAACACAAATTTTACTGTTTAACACACATACATTTAGCACACTGTTTAACAATGCTCTTCAACACATTTCTCTATTTGGTGGAGATTTTTTTTTGTCATAATCATGGGTAATGTAGTTTATTACCAGGGCTTCTGCTCTTTAACATGTTTCTCTGATTGGTGGACTTTTTTGTCAGAATTATGGATAATGACGTTTTTCATAAGGATTTCTGCTATTAAACACATTTCTATGATTGGTGGAGATTTTTTGTCAGAATTATGGGTAATGATGTTTTTCATAAGGATTTCGGCTATTAAACACATTTCTATGATTGGTGGACTTTTTTGTCAGAATTATGGGTAATGTAGTTTTACCAAGATCCTGCTATTCAACATGTCTATCTGATTAGTGGAGATTTTTTGTCAGAATTATGGGTAATGAAGTTTTTCACCAGGGTTTCATTTCTCTGATTGGTTGAGATTTTTTTTTTGTCAGAATCATGGGTAATGTAGTTTTTTTTCACCAGGTTTTCTGCTAATTAACACATTTCTCTGATTGTTGAAGATGTTTTTGTAAGAATCATGGGTAATGTGGTTTTTTAAAATAAATTAGCCTGCTAGATTTTTTTTACCAGGAATTCCTGAAACCCCCCAACAAAATCAGTTTGAAATAAAGCAGTCTGATGCCTCAACAAAAGCGTGTTATTAAAGATTCAATAAGTTACATTGAAGTTTCTCTGGGGAGAAAATAAATGTTATTTGTACTTTCAGAACTCGACTATTTTACTTTATACTGTAGTCTTACTGTCTTCTGTGTGGAACAGTCATATTGAGGCCACTCAGCACTAAAGCAGCTTCACTGCCTGCCGAGACTCTCCTCTCTGCTTTAACATAGGACAGAGACACAGTATTCAGCATGGACCGCACTGAACGCCAGTGCAAACCTGAGACACAGAGAGAAAAACAAAAGAGTGTTAAAAGAGAACACGAAAGACCACACAAAATCAACATCAGCACCGATTCTCACTCTGAACATGCAGCACTTTCTCCAGAGAACAGACTGCATTAGCACAGGGACTTCTCAGTAACTCCACCTCAGATAAAGGCTCAGGCTGCAACAACATGCAAATATTCATGCAATAGCTGTTTAATGCGTCTATGTGGACACTTCTGTAAACACACAGACACACACACAAACCTCATTTCCTAGAAGAGCACTGACACAAGCTTGGGACGCATCGCAAAGGGAGACAAGCTCATAACCTCCCTCTAACACCAGCACTACTCGTCCTTCAGCAAGCTCCATTAACTTCTGCGTCAGCCATCCAAAACCTATAAATGTTCACATTCACAGATTTAGTGACACACACATCATTGTGTTAAAAATGGCATATTTTTGTGTGGTACAGAAAGACATCTGTCACTGAAGGTCAT